TGTGGGCTTAATATATAATGCATATCCTCCAATAATATTAAGCCAATTAAGAAATATTAAACATATCTAATTAATTCTCCTATCCCTCCTGATTGCGAATGACACATCATGGGTTATGAGGTAAGAGACCAAGCCTTTGGTATCGTAGGCATCTAGGAAGCAACAAAGGTGATTTGACATGTAAAAACAAATTAACAGTTACATCTGTATAAACTACAGAACAGATCTTGGGAAGGTAGTATTGAAAAGAATTTTCAAAAATCATCACTAGCTTAAGACGGAAGCATAGATGTCTGGGAACAATGAATGCTTGTGGCTTGGCTACCTATTAACCAGAGTGACAATACGCTGAACTAAATAAACGTAACTGTAGATATAATTATAAGGAACTTCAGCTACTTAAGAAATGAGGAACTTTTGCTGTTGTTTTGTTTTGTTTTGAAATAATCAAGGACATATCAAAGCCAGCAGAAAGCACAGACAGTTTTTCTGGGCAGATATATAATATCTGCTAATTGGGCAGACTACACAGAAATTAAAAAGAACTGTCATTATCTTTTGTTAAGAACAAACTGAATATTCCAAGACTGGTTTGTCATTTCAACCAGAAAACAAAATCAAATTCTACTCTTGCATTAATGTAATGATTGGCAGCAAAGACTTTTTAAAAAAGTCTTATAAGTCCATTAAAGCAGAGCCAATTTTGTAAAAAATTTTAACATATTTCATTGCTTTTTAGACTCATTATTTGTAGGTATCATAAACCAAAGAAAATAAAGTTTTCTTTTCCTCAAACGTCTACAACTTACTCATTCAAATTTTGTCTCTTATTTATCATTCACATTCTGACACAGTCATTTATTTTATTTCAAGATAAAACTGCTCATTCTTTTTACCTTGAAAAACAAAACCACACTCATAATCTTACATGCATATTTATATTTCTTTGCTACTTCAAATCTTAATATAGTCTCAATGGCCCATACGAATTTAAAATATTTTAATATGTTGGGTACACAGATATTAAAAAAGATTTTTTTAAGTAAATGACAATAGATAAAACTGATTATACAATGCTTCTTATCATTAATTTATGACATTATAAAATTTAACTTGATAACCTCTTTCTAAACTTCAGTCCTTAGTGCTCCATTTTCAAGAGTATAAAAAGTGACTATTTTGTAAGAGATTTTGCAAGTAATTCCAGTTAC